GGGGGGGGGGTCTCTAAAGACATGATGTCCCCAGTTTTATCAAACTTAATGTTTTATCTGAACAAGAGAGAAACAAACATTGTTTTAAGAGTTAAATATTTCAAAATAAAACTCCACGTCCTTCAGAATAAAGGTCCAGAATAAATGCAGAATATTAAAAACGAACTTGTTTAAACGMTTTGTCTTTTTTCAGACTAAATAAATCAGATTTTCTGTTTCTTTCATCAGTTAAACTGTGTTTGAATCTAAAACGGATTATTTCCTGTCTGACATTAAATCCTGCGGTTCGGACTCACCAGCGTTGTTGACCAGAACCAGGTGGTCCATGTCTTCGGTGAAGACCTGTTCGGACCTCCTCAGGAGGTCCTCCAGGTCCTCCGTCCGTCCAACGTCCGCCGTCACCACCTCCACCTTCAGGCCGGCCCTGCCCGCCTCGGACTCGGTCAGCTCCTCCCGCAGAGCCCGCAGCTCCTTACCGGAGCGGGCCGCCAGAACCAGCGCCGAACCGGGCCTCACCGCCCGGGACACGTCCTGGGCCACGGCCCGGCCGAAGCCTCTGGAGGCCCCGGTGATGATGACCAGGGCCCGGCCCAGGTCTGCTGCAGGCGGCATGCTGCAGGCCGGAGGTTCGGCTGCGTCTGACCCGAGGAAAGGTGCTGAGGAGCGGCTTCTCTTCTGCGGAGGACTCGGCGGTGCTGCTGGAGCTGCTGGAGCCTGTGGTCCTCCTGACGCCACCTCTCGGTTTTATGTGGAGCCGTCAGGAGGAGGTGGGTCAGAGCGGAACATTTCAGATAAACTGATACAAACATGACCTCTAAAACACGTCAGCTCTGAGCTTCAGGCAGTTTCCAGTCTCCTGATAGTTTCATGTTGCAACAAACCCCATGATCAACCATCAAAGCCATGATGGAGACATGTTTGTCCTTCAGCCAAACATCTAGAGTGTTGAAGCACACAGGAGCCTGTGTTCACCTCAGACACCGACTCACTTCACTTCCTGCTTCTTCTTGAGTTCACTTCTAATYAAARACACTGAATCTGAACAAAGGTTCAGCTTAATACTGACTTCATCCAGGATTAATAATCCAGAATTAATACTGACTTAATCCAGGATTAATACTGACTTCATCCAGAATTAATACTGACTTAATCCAGGATTAATACTGACTTCATCCAGAATTAATACTGACTTCATCCAGAATTAATACTGACTTCATCCAGGATTAATACTGACTTCATCCAGGATTAATACTGACTTCATCCAGAATTAATACAGACTTCATCCAGAAATAATACAGACTTCATCCAGAATTAATACTGACTTCATCCAGAATTAATACTGACTTCATCCAGATTTAATACTGACTTAATCCAGGATTAATACTGACTTAATCCAGAATTAATACGACTTCATCCAGATTTAATACTGACTTCATCCAGAATTAATACTGACTTCATCCAGAATTAATACTGACTTCATCCAGAATTAATACTGACTTCATCCAGA